AATTTGATTTGTAAATTATGCATAATCATGTATAATCTAGCATAGATTTTTTTAATACAAAACAAAATTGAATCTGATTATCTGCCAACTAAATAATTTAATTTCTATATTGATTATTATATTATACAATTTGCTTTTTATAGAATTATAGCAATAAATTAATTTATATATTAATTATTATATTATATAATTTGTATTTTTATAAAATCACTACCTAAAAGTATACTCTAGTACAATATATTATATCACAAAAAACAGTTATTATTAATATAAACAAGTTTTAATAGATATTTGTTAGCCATACTAAATTTAGTACAAAATACTTAATTTAGTATAGTTAAAAAACTAAAATTTAGAAAAAAAATTATTATTAACTTTATATTAAATTTTTATAGTAAATAAATATATATCTATTTAATCTACTTGTAAGTTTAGAGATATATTTTTTGATAAAATTTGTATTTAACTCAGAAATAAATTTAAAAATAAAAAAATTATTAAACTTTAATATAAATTTTTACTTATAATAAAATTTAAAAATTTTAATATAAAATTTTAATAAAGAAATAACTAATGAACATCTCAGGTAATAATTATCTGTGATTTATAATATATAATTTTGTGTAATATAAACAAATAAATAAACAATTTAATAAATAAAAAAAGTTTTTTTTAAATCTTTAGAGTAAAAGTCAGAGATCATATTAGGGTTAGAGTTTAGTAAGGTTTATAGTAAAATTTTACAAGGAATTTTTTACTTAGAGCCTCAAAAGTAGTTTCATAAGCATAATTTTAAGATAATTTTGCTACAGGTGATCATCACCCGAGGTGCAAATTAGCAATTTTCTTTAATAAAACTATTTTTAATATAAAATATTTAATAAAAATTATTTTTTTTGCAAAATATTATTAATATTTTATAATAATTTATAATAAAATTAAAATTTTAAACTAAAAATTTTTATTAAAAAATTCAATTAATTTTTGAAGTTTTAAACAAATTTGTAATTATTAAAATATTTTATTTAGATAACAATTTTAAATTTTAATTAAAGTTTATAGAGCTAGTTTTTCTGATTCTAATGATAATAAAATCATTAAATTTGACCAAAAACTCACTAAAATACAAATATTTTTTATATTTAGTATATATATATATATAATTTAAAAATAGCAATTTCTAGGGTGTGGCGATATAGCGAAGTGGTCAAGTTGTCACCCTTTCAAGTGGCAGGTCAAGTGTTCAAATCTCATCGGTGACGAAAAATTCAAAAATTCTGCTTGTATTATAGTTAACTATATTTGTTTGATTAGTTGGGATAGGATATTTGTAACTATAGTTGTATTAGCAAAACTGGGAGGTCTGGAGCTTTCATGTGATATTACACGAAGGGATACAAACTGACATTAGAGCAGTGCAAACACAAAATAAGCCCCTGGGTCGTATAAATCTAGAGAATTGCAAATACGGAAGCCCGCTTGGCAAGTCCTAAATAGCAAAGTAGTACAGATCTTTGACAGAGCTACTGTAAAGGTTAGACCCAAAAAACTGAACCCAGTAAACTAAACTGGACAAAATATGGGGTGTTAGGGATGTGCCCATACCAACCAGGCTGCTGCAATAAAAAAGAGGATCTAGAAATCAAGGTGAAGGAGCTGTAATACATATGGCTTGGTGGCAAGGTAAAAGGTCCACCAAGATTCAGGGTACCTGCCTAGAACAGAGAAAAAGTGTACAGTTACTGAGCCATCTAGATTGGAAGTCTGAAAACTAGAGTTGAGACCCCTGCTATTAGATGAAAAAGGAAATGCCTATACAAACTAGGCTGCCGTCAAACTCAGAGAAAAATAAGTGACACATACTGGGCTATCTGGTTTGGAAGTCTAGATAAAGGAAACCAGGTTACTAAAGTACTAGGATATACTGTGAAGTAAGTTTTAGAGTTTAAGTGAACTTTACAAGAGCAGAAATAGGTTTGGATAGCAGAGTTTAGCCGAAAACTGTGGTTAAATCATAGAAAAGAAGCAGGAAAAAGTTAAGCTGGAAAATCAACTATAGACAATGATCTCGACCTGATACTATACACTTCCAGAATAGGGTAATAACTGAGCTGCAAGTGGTAGGCCATGGTCTATGCATACCAAACTGAAGTGCAGGCTAGATGCGGTATAAAATGAGAATACTACAGGCTCTGCCAGATTTATCTTGAGGATAAAGTAGTCCTTGATCAGTATATATAAAATAGTGTATCAAGAAAAACTAGTTTGTAGAAATCAGAGAAAAGGTATCAATTAATATAGGCTTCAGAGTATATAGACGCAGAGGGTTTAAATAAGTAACCTCCTAGCTGGGTTACAGGTATAGCAAATAGTGTAGAATCTAAAAAATAGGAGCATAATAGAAATTGGTTTTAATTGGCTATTGATTTTGATCATCAGATCAAATATGATTGGTTAATGTATTGTAAATCCATATAGAATTCTTATTTATAATATACCAACATTTTCAGTTACTTATATAACAAAAAAATTTTTTTTATTAAATATGTTTTTCGTGCTCTAATGGGTCTTTTAAAACTTTCAGATCAAGTAGAATCAAGTGTGTAAGGGTAGTTGACTTATACATGAAAGAAGGCAGAGTATGAATACTGTGGTGGTTACTTTAACTTCTGTGGCTTATAAAAGGTAATAAAACTAGTAAAGCATACTATATTTTATTTTGTTACCATTTATCTAAATTCTCTAATGCATATTGTAAATTTATTATATCACTTTCTTGAACAACTTCCTGCTATTCTATATCTTCCAAATCGTCTGAATCCTGAGATTCTTCAATTCCATCATCTTCAATAATTGTATTAACTTCTTTTTCAAGTCTTTTTAGAAATGAATTAATATTTTTATATATTCCATTCTTATAGTACTGTTCACAGTGTTGGTATCCATATTCCAATTTATAATAACAGTTTTGGTGAAAACCATGACCACAGATCAGGACAGTGTTACCATCCTTTTCGTTAAATGGATTATGGCAATCGTCACAAAGACCTTGTAAAGGAAGAACCCCTGTACTATAACCTGTAGGTAGGAATGTGGTATCGACTTCTTCATTTAAAATAGCAAGCTTGTATATTAAAACTTTTTTTTTTTTTTCTAATTTGTTTCTATAAACTATTTGTTATACCATCAACCGTCTTCATATGCTGAAATATTTTGCAAAAATGATCTAGCAAGAATATTGATATCTTATTTGCCAAATACTCTAGGTTGGAAGGCATATATAGATATTTCTTTTTTATGTTAAACATTTCTTTAAATGACGATTTCTTGTTCATATCTATTAATTTATTATTATACTGATTAGATTATTATTATTTTTTATTTTTATTTTATTTTGTTAGGGACTCCACTTATTACGTAAATATAGCCCTTTCAGAATCAGTCGTTTGACAATTACAAGTTCTAAAATAATCAAAATATAAACTTTATACGATTAGTTATTTTAGAGCTTGCAATTGTCAAACGATTGATTACTTTAGAACTTGTAATTATCAAATAACCGGCTCTGAAGGGGGGCTATATTTATGTAATAAGTGTGAGTCTCCTTATTTATTTTATTTTATTTTATTTATTTATTTATTGGAGATAATTTTAATTTTTTTTTACCTAATATACAAGCCTGTTTAATAATAGTTTCGACACTATCGCTAGAAGACGTATTTGCTCGTATTTTACTATGTAAGTTTTTAACAAAATAATCGTTGAAATTTACTAAAAACATCTTAATTACTTCTAACATTGGATGTTCTTTTTCTTGCTAATAAAAGATGTCCGACAAGAACACTAAAGGTACCTTATTGTAGTTTTTTCATTTCCAACGCAATGCAAAGGTCCATATTCAGAAAACCATTTCAATATATTCGTCGAAAGAGCCTGAACAAAAGAGGACTGCATATACATCTAAGGTTGCTGGAATTACATTATCTAGAAGATCAACTAATGTTCTATACTCTACGTATTTACAGGTAGTTCCAAATTTTTCTTATCCATCCTTGGTAAGCAAGTTCTAAAAGAAGATTTATTCTCTATAGTTGTAGTTTTTTTGCAAGAGTCTTTTTGCGCTTTCCAAAAACTTTATAAAAAAGCAATTTAAAAAAAGGATAATAGACTTTTAAAACTTGCTCCTGGCTATTTAACAAAACGTGAAGTGGACCTAATATAGGTATGAAGATATTTATGAATAGCGGTATATTTTTATTTTGTTGATGCAAGTTGGTTAATGCCTTTCGTATAAAAAGTTGCCTGGGCCAGTCAGCAACAACAGGCATTATATAATCATTTGCATGTTCAATATCTTTAACTAAAAAAATATTTTTTAATGCATTTAAATAATCATTTAGGGAATGAAGCTGGCTCTCTCTAAAATCAACTAATCACACTTCTTCTATAGTTCTTTCTTTTTCCTTTTCTTTTATAGCATCGTCATAGCAGTAAACAGTTAAAAGGTCAATTTTATCAAAATCAACAAGCTCTATTTCTTGTAAGGTAGTCCACTGATCTTTTCTTTGTGTGTGTGAATAGTCAAAAATTCCATGATATTGCTTAATTAGGTATAGGCAAATTAAGGATGCATCGATATTGGCAAGGTTATGGACTGAATTACCATTATGGATTATTGGAACTGGTGCACATTGTATAATTTTTTTACTTACGCATGTTGCAAAATGAATTGGAGCAGAAAGAGTTACAGTATTGGGACATCTTATTCTATATGTGTTATAGTAATCATCAATATAGAATACAAAAAAACTGTTTATCTAATATAAAATTTTAATTAATAAATTTAGGATAATTGCATGCTATAGTTACAAGATTTTGGTTAGAAGTAGTTTAGAGATGTAGATATAATGCTATAACTTGTAATTATATTGAGTTACAGCATTTTTGCCGTAACTCAATATAATTACAAGTTATGGCATTACGTCTACACCTCTGGAGTATTACAGCCTAAGTAAAGTGTATATAGGTTCCTCACAAAATAAATATGAGGGTACAGAATTACACTTTCATAGGTTGAATTAATCGAACTAGCTTATTTAGAACGAAGTCAGGTGAATTTTTTTTTTTTAAAAAAAAATATACTTACTTTCTCGGCAAAATATTTTTGGATGTTTTCTGAATGCGCAGCAACAACCTTTTTCCTATAGTTTTCAATAGTTTTGTAACAAACTATAATACCTGCCTTATGCATTGCATCAATTGCATCGCAAGATGCACCTGATGCTACTAAATATAATCTGATTTCTAACAGATAGTTATTTACAAGCCTATTACGTATCACCGCAATTAAATAGCATATATTAACTACTTTTTTTTTATCTTCTTTTCTATTATAAGATGATCGTCTTTCGGAGATAAATGTGTCATATAGCTCATTAAAGAATCCTACCAATTGTAGCTCAGCATCTTCAAGCATTTTCTGAAATTGATCCAGATTTAATTCTAGTATGTTATTTCTTTTCTTTGTTTTTCGTATAACACTTTAGTCATTAACGCGATCTTTTCACCAAATGATAATAGTTTTTTAATGACTATATTATTTTGCTTATTAATACTAATTAATGACTTATTATAACGATCAGGCTCGACAATTTCTAAGTAATGAGGATAGCATAATTGTTTTTCAACTTCTAAGTAATTATATTGATCAAACGTGACCTTTTCTTTTACTTTTTTAAAGCATATTCTGTGATTTTGCAATATTGATTTGATTCTATTTAGCAATTACGAACAGAACAAGACCAAGATTTTTTTGAGATATTTTTATAGTTTTATTAAATTTTGATATTGTTTTATTCTCTGAAGTATATGAGGCAAATCTGCCTCTACAAGATCTTTTTACATGCTCTTTTATACAAATCATAGTTACTAACGCATTAACTCTCTATTCTCTAGATCTTACCTTTATGCAACTGTGAAACTATTTATCATTAAATTCAATATGCTTTTGAAATTAATGCTATCATAACAAATTATGCATAAAGACTCTATGCATAATGATCATATGTGTAATGATTCTATGTATAATGATCATATGCGTAATGATTCTATGCATAATGATTATATGCATAACAATTCTATGCATAATGATCATATGTGTAATAATTTAATGTATAATGAAGATACTATAGCAAATGAATATAGGTGGAACATGTAATATAGTAACGATAAATGTAACAGATAAATGAATAAACTAAAAAAACATGCAGATCATAATCCTTATCCTTGTATAAGATGTAGTATTTCTTTAAGCTAAGCACATGTAACAATATGGGCTAATAAATTTCACACAATTTATATACTGTATTTGCTTTATAAAGTACCCCTCGTGACAGTACCTCTCGTTGACAGTACCCCTAGTATTATAAATTCAAAAAATTTTTATTGTCGCAAATGCAAAAAAATCACAAAAAAAAAAAAAATTATATGTGTACTATATATACAGAGAGCACAAATTTAAATCTATGTGCACTGCACCTACTGTGCAGATCCAATTTATATTACTGGTACCCCCTTGATTTATACCAGATATGTTACCAGGTCTATTACCTGTATATTTGCTAAAAGATCTGGTATACTACTAAGCAGAAATTTATAAACATGATATAAACAAATCGGTTTATAATATAACTTTGCACAAGATCCTTGCATAGTATACCTTTGCTATACAGTATACCTGGAAGCATAAATCAAAAACCGGTATAGATTGTAAGAGGCCCCCATGGTGGTACTTCTTTAGCCAAGGCACGTGATAGTAAATTACAATTTTATTGGTCAATTTATTGAGATACATCATATGACAGTTTTCAGTTTGATGTAATGTCTACATGTAGATCACAAATGCTGGCCAATTAAAACCAATTTCCATTATGCTAGTTTTCAGTTTAGTGTAACATCTACATGTAGATCACAAATACTAGCCAATTAAAACCAATTTCTATTATGCTAAAAATAGGCAGACTACTTAAATAGACGCAAAAGATGCAAGTATAGCTAAATGTACTCTTTAAATATGTATAATGATATTCTAATTTAATAAAGCATAACATGACCAAGAGGTCACCTTAATACCAAAAAAAAAAAAATAGCAATTTTTATTTGTATACAGGGTGTTTGTACATGGGTATATAGAAAGCCAATCAGATTGCATGATCAGGTATAATATAAAATTATTGATTTCTCTAAAATATTATCTATATCTCAAAATTTCGCTTATGAAACCACTTTTTGGATTCTAACAAAAAAATTTCTTGTAAAATTTTGGTATAGACTATAACCCACCCCAATCCTAAATACACCTAACCTGAAGTAGTGGTTAATTTTCATTTTATAAAAGTTGTTTTGATTTGTATATTATACAGATTTTTAAATTAATATCTGTGTACTATATACTATATGTATCCTTAGTAATTTTCTTTAAAAATATATATAAAAATAAAACTAAATTTATATATTTTATAAAATTTTTAGTAAAATTTAATAAATTTATTTTTATTATAATCAGAAAAGCTAGCTTTATAACTAGTTAAAAATTTAATATATATTAGCTTAATAAAATTTTTTAATATTCATTTATTTTTAATCCTTTAAATTAAATTTACTATAAATTTACTATTAGTTTACTATTAATTTACTATAATTTTATAAGTAAATTTAGCTATTTTTAGATTTGTACTACCTTATAACAAATCTATTAATAATTTTTTTTATACTTTTAAAATCAAATATAGATTAAAAATAATTTATATTTTTATTATTTTTATTATTATATTATAAATTTATATTTTTAATTATTTTTTTACTATAGTTGCTATCATGAAAAGTTATCAACTTTTAACTATGAAATTTTTAAACTTTTATAATTTTTTTAAAATAAAATAAATTGAAAAAAAGTTTTTATAAATTTAATAGCTTTTTGATTAAACTATCAAATCTACAAATAAAATTTTTAGTATCTCTTATTTTAAGAAGTTTATATTAATTTAAAGTTATATATAATTTAAAAATTTGGCGCTTATATATAAAAAAACATAACAAAATTTAACTTTATTAACAAATTTTAAAATTTATTAATAAAATTTAAATTTATATTAAATTTTTTTGTATTTTTATTGGTCAATCATATTACACTGCAGCTAAAAAATTGGTACCTATATATAAAAAGTTGTTGGCTTTAGGTGGTATTGACTATACTATACTAATTTTAGTACATCAAATTTTGTAAAAAATACAAGTTGTTTAAAGTTAATTTATACAAAATTTTTATGGGTTCTTCTAGACATCTTTAGCTAGAGATATATAACTATATATCTCTGGCTTTTCAACCAATTAAAATTCAAAAAATCACATGATCTTCATTTTGTCGATCACTCGATCATGTGATAATGCCGGACAGGTCGGCCACTTTTGTGTAACCCGAAATTACGATTTCTTGCACTACGATTTACAGAAAAGAAAAAGAAAAATTTTCAAACCTTTGAGCGACGTTATCTCCACAGCCACCTGACCAAATTCGATGAATTTTTTTTATTTGAATTCTATGGATCCATAGAATTCAAATAAAAAAAGTTTCATCGAATTTGGTCAGGTGGTTGTGAAGATATCTTCGCTCAAATTTTTTAAAAAAATTGGCGTAGCTTCTATTTTGATAGATATTTTGACTTTTCTCTAACTTTTAGCGAAGATATCTCTACAACCACCTGACCAAATTCGATGAAAAATTTTTTATTTAAATTCTATGGATCCATAGAATTCAAATAAAAAAATTTTCATCGGATTTGGTCATGTGGTCATAAAGATATCTTCGCTAAAATTTTTTAAAAAATTGGCATAGCTTCTACTTTTAAATAGACGTTTTGACTTTTCTCTAACTTTTAGTGAAGATATCTCTACAACCACCTGACCAAATTCAATGAAAATATTTTTATTTGAATTCTATGGATCTATAGAATTCAAATAAAAAAATTTTTATCAGATTTGGTCAGGTGGCTGTGGAGATATCTTCACTCAAATTTTTTAAAAAAATTGGCGTAAACTTTTAGCGAAGATATCTCTACAACCACCTGACCAAATCTGATGAAAATTTTTTTATTTGAATTCTATGGATCCATAGAATTCAAATAAAAAATTTTTCATTGATTTGGTCAGGTGGTCGTGGAGATATCTTTGCTAAAATTTAAAACATCTATCAAAAATAGAAGCTATGCCAATTTTTTTAAAAAATTTAAGCGAAGATATCTCTACAACCACCTGACCAAATCCAATGAAAATTTTTTTATTTGAATTCTATGGATCCATAGAATTCAAATAAAAAAAATTTCATTGAATTTGGTCAGGTGGTCGTAGAGATATCTTCGCTAAAATTTAAAAAAAGTCAAAACGTCTATCAAAAGTAGAAGCTACGCCAATTTTTTTAAAAAATTTGAACGAAGATATCTCCACAACCACCTGACCAAATCTGATGAAAATTTTTTTATTTGAATTCTATGGATCCATAGAATTCAAATAAAAAAATTTTCATCGAATTTGGTCAGGTAGTTGTAGAGATATCTTCGCTAAAAGTTAGAGAAAAATTAAAATTTCTATAGAAGCTACACTATTTTTTTAAAAAGTTTGAGCGAAAATTTCTCCACAACCACCTGACCAAAATTTCTGACCCATGATTGATCGCTCAGCAGCAATACAGTAGCATTAGTACCTACATGATCCTATAAAATTTGAATCAACTTAGTTTAGATTCCGCGAAGCCAATATGATATACTTTATTAATATATTTAATTTATTAAACATAGACAATTACAATATTATAACATCATAAATCCCAATCTGTATTCAAAAAAAAACTAAAAATCATCAAACAATACCAATTCGTGCTATAAAAAAAAAAATAAATAAAAATAAAAAAACTAACACAAAGCCAAAGTATTTCGCAATACTATTAAAAATTGACTTGCATGTCAAAACCACTATGAATCACTACAAACTTCCACCCTACTTATACTTAAGAAAAACACCAAAAGCTTAACAAAAGTATACTTATGAAGGTTCCAAAGACAACGACGACAACACCAAAATGACATACAGTTAGCCCCCAAGCAGTGTTGTATATGGGACAGTTGGGATATGAGTTAGAATATAGCAAAAAAGTTTGGGATAGTAAAAATATACAACATTGCCACTAAGTGCACGTCTTATGAAACACCTTCCTAAATGCACGTCTTCTCTTGAGCCCAACCAATATTATATTTATAGATTTTTATCTCTCTAAACGAAATACCTCTCTAAGTGCACGTTTGTCTAAATTTTTATATATAGTCCCGTTGTATTGCATTTAGAGAGGTCTGACTGTATCTATTATTCTAGCAAAAAAAATTAAGCCAAAAGTGAAAAAAAAAAAAAAAATCTACTGAAAACAAA